GAAAGCCCCTTGAAGCCCCCGCCTGCGGCACCCCCCCCGACCACTTCTGTCTGCCGCTACCGCCTCGCATCTGACAACAGACGTTCCTGGCAGGCGGCCCGCTTGCCTTGGGAGAGAGATGCATTCACCTGGCTCCTTCTCCCCGCAGCTCCGCCTCGCTAATCCCCTGGCACATTCCTCCTTGCATGGGTTTTGATAGCATGGGGGCAGCCTGGGGCCACTGGCTTATTCCTGCCATGCTGTTTCCTTGTGGAGCCGGGCCAGCCCATTCCCAATGAGCCTTGCGGGCTCCGGGCTGTGTTGACTTACCCTGAAACAAACCCATGAGAAGAGGGTGTGTGCATGTGTCTGGTCGCTCCATCACCCGCTGGTTCGGGCACTAGCTTGGGATGTGGAGACCAGGGTTCAGCCCCTGGTCAGCCTGATTCACAGCAGTGTTATTCGGGCCAAACAGGCTCCCATAACTGGTATCTGGGCAATGGGGAGGGGGATCTTCTGGTTGCTTCTTGACATGACAGGCGAGCCCAAAGACAGGGAGATGAATAGGCTGCCACCAGAGCCACTGAGCTAAAGCACTGAGAAAAATAGCCCCAAACCTGATGTGAAAATATGCCCGTGGGGTTGTGGTGGTGCTGGCTGTGCACGTGGGTACTCTGCGTCCACGTGCCCCTGGGGGTTTGCTCAGGGGTGAATGGGCACCGAGACGCAGCCAGCAGGCTAAATGCCAGGGGCAGGGACGTGCTTTGTAGCCACAACTAGCACGGACCTCAGAAAAATCTACTGGAAATCAGTCTTGTCCCAGAGCTGCTCTGCCCCCAGGATTTAATGCGTATTGGCCATCTCCTTATTTCATGTCAGCGGGTCTCCACTTTCAACTCTTTGCTGCTGTTAGGAAGAGCCCCAGTGGCACTTCAAGAGCAGCCGACGTTGGGACCTTCTTTCTAGGCTGCTTGGCTTTTGGAAAGGGATGCATGAGTGTGAATGGAAAAGAAGTGCTTCTGGCAGAGAGAGGCAGCTGCATTCGTGGCTCTGGTGTATTTTTACGTCGTCCCTTTGCCTTGTGTGCATCCGTCCTGCCTTTCTTGCCGGGGGTGAAAGGCTACTGGGCCATGACAGCTGCACCCGACACCGAATTAGAGCCAGCATCAAAACTCTCTTCCGGGTTTCTTTGGCTCCTAAGGGTTGTGTGAAGAGTTCACTCCAGGCGAGCGCAGAGATCCTGTTCTCATCCTCCCGGTGACTGAAGGCACTCGGCAGAGAGCGTTGCTTCCAGGGCCGTGCTGTTTTTTGCGGTCTGTGAAAACTGCCTGGCCGAGCCCCTGGGATCCCGTTCCTCACTGCTGTCGAGTTGCTACACGCCTGGGCACAGGTGGCTGGTGCTTTGAAAAGGCGCCATTGAAAGTCCTACAGAAATGCAAAGCTGCATAGTTTTCTTTTTAGTGCAGCTTGCTGGTCCATTAACGGGAGCCCTCGAGGCCATGACAAGCTGGCTGGCATTTCCTGGGCAGGGCAGGTTATTCTCTGCCCGTTTGGAGCTGTCTTGCACCGTCTCAGCACTTGGAAAAGACATTCAGTGTCCACCTGTGTCCATGCAGCTGCAAATGCTACTGCTTGTGCTAGCGTAGTGCCTAGCAGCCCTCGCCGTGGGCAGGACACGGCCTGTCTGGAGCCCTGGGTGACCTAGAGCAGCGGTTCTCCATCTCTGGGCCCTTCCTCCCAGCACCAGGCTGCTCTGTGCGTGCTGGTGATGGCAGGGACAGCAGGGCAGTTGGCGCTGAGAACCAGGGTGTGCAGGGGATGAAAGCGGCTGGGAACTACCGACCTGGAGCCTTATTCACGCAGTGGCTGCACCGCCCTGCCCTCGTGTTGGTATTTTACCCTGTGCTGGGAAAGACCCCAGCTCCGCTAGCATGGTCCGTCAGCCAGGCGGCGTCGTGGCTGTATGCAAGCGGCTGATGGAGAGGCCTTGCACTTGTTCCTCAGCTCCTGGTGCGTGGGGTGGGGTGGGGTGGGGTGGCCGCGGGGGGACGAGTCGGGCACAAGCAGGCTCCCAAGCTCACCGGCCCAGCACTGCAAATGGATGCACGTGATTAGCGCTGTGCTAATCATTATTTTATCAGTCCAGGTCGACTCCAAGTTATTTTTTTACTGATGCTTCGAGCCCCTGGGATCCCGGCTCGGCACAGCCATGCACGGTGATGCTCCTTGCCACGTGGCCCCGCAGCCTTCCCAGCACCGAGGGACGTTCCTGACCAGGCGGAGGAGCTGGGAAGGGGCCTGCCTTTAACCCCACGCTAGAGGCTCGGTGGCGACGGGGGCTCCAGGGCAGCCCGTCCGGCCCTGGGTGCGGTGCAGGCTGCAGCGGGTTGCATGCTGTGACTTACAGCGGCTGTTTTTGAGGCTGGAATGAACAAACTGGCTGTGCTGAAAGCTCCCTCTTCTCCCCGATCTGCTCGGCTGACAGACGAGAGTTCGCAGCTGGGGGTGGGCAGTCGCGCTGTCCTCTGGGTCCTCAGAGGCAGAGGTGAGGCCTGCTCCGGGTCGGCCTTGGAGAAGAACAGCCCTTTGCAGCAAATGCAAGCTTCCCGCTGGTTTTAACGGATGAATGCAAATCCAAGGCCCAGAAACGAGGGTCCAGCCAGCTGGGACATCTTCACCGCTGCTCCCCCCATGTCCTGCAATAGCACAAACTCATGGACTCACACCGGGGACTCGGTGGCTTAGGCTCATCCCCACTGATTTTGCCCCATGCTGTGCTGAAAAGTGGCAAGCCAGACGGCACGAGTTCAGTCGGTTCAGACTGGTGTTCGCCCAGGGGACATTCGCCCCCCGCTTGCCCATTGTTGGATGCCGGCAGTCGTGGCCTTTTAGCAGCTCTGAGTGCTGAGGTTACGCGTGCAAAGGGGAGGTTGGGAAAAAGACGATTTCTGAAGCTAATTATTTTTGCTGGGCAGCTCATTACGTGAAGGAGAGCCTGGGTAACCGTGCGGTGGGGATTATTAATGACCCTCTACCTGCTCTGGAGAGAGTTTTACAACTGAAGTCATGCAGCAGGGTCAGAGGAGGGTGCAGCCGCTTCACGTGTTGCCTGAAATAGGAGCTTTGGGGGGGGGTTTCCCCCCTTCAAGGGCGTTTAAAGGTTTTGCCGTGAAGCACTGAGCCGCGGCAAGAGCTCCAAGCCGGGAGGGGCAGGAGGAGCTGGGTAGTAGGAGCCGGACGGCCCTGTAGCATAGACGCTGGCCTCTGCGTTGGCCAAGGAGGCTTCCAGCAGTGGCGGTCGTGGTGGCTTACGTGAGATGGACACATGGCAAGAGGGAACAGGGAGCAGTCCCCGTCTGCAATGACCAGCGAGTAGATGTGCCCCTAGTACGGGGCAGCAGCTCACGTACATCGTGAAGCATGTAGCATTTTCCCCCCAAGCTGCCTCTGTTCTGCCCCTCAACTTATCACTCAACCCATCTTCTCCCAGCTGCCCCTGGACCACCCGGGTGTAGCTCGGGATACTCCGGACAGGATACCTGGCGGGCAGGCAGCTCGGAGAAGTGTTGGATGTGCCCCTCCCCTCCCGTCTGCCTTCGCTCGGTGCCCAGCGTTTCCTGCTATCCCTTGGAAGTCGGGAAACGAGAGGAATAGGAAATGAAGCAGGGAGACTGGGCAAGGAGCAAACGTCTTCCCTCGTCCTGCAGACACAAAGCAGGCGTCTGCAGGTCCCTGGATGCTGGCGTGCGAGTGCCGAGGGCAGCAGGTTTGCTGGGGTGAGAGTATGGCTCGAGGGAGATGCCCCGTGATAAAACCTCCCTTGAGAGAGGGCTCGGGATCCGGTTATGCCCGTGCACATTCCCGCTGAAGTCCAGAGATGGCGCAGACACCGCTGGCCCTGGAAGCAGCTCAGGAATGTGTCACAGCGCAGGCTTTTCTTGCTGTGAAAGATGAAGCGCTGCACACCCCAGGGTCCTTCCCGCATGTAATTACTGCTCGGAAACGGGCCCTGACATCCTTTCGCTGCCCGGCTCCGGTTCCCCACGGGGACCAGGTCTCCAGAGTGCCATAAATCAGGGATGAAACTCTCAGCTGTAACCGTGTTCGTGATTCAGAGGTAACTTCCTTCTCCGAGGAGCAAGAGCTCAGCCTGCTTCTAGGGAAAAAAGCCCAGGCGTCCCGGCCGCGGCGCGCGGGGCTGTTCACGGGAGGCTGTGAGCAGAGCAGATAGCAGCGGTGAGGCTGAACGAGAAGCTAGGGAATTCCTGGGTCTATTGGAAAATGTCCTTGGGGATGCAGTACATTGGCAGATTTGTCACGGTACTTTAGAGAATGTAAACTGCCTGCCGACCCGCTTTGTTCTTGATAGCATGCTTGCACATAGCTCGTCCCCGAGGGAGCAGCAGATGATCCAGGACTGGTAGGCCTTTTCCATCACTGTCTTCCCAGCTTCGGAGTAAATAAAGGGATTTACAGTGAGGGTGACTGAATGAAGCTGAGCATTCATTTTTTTCCCTTTTAAACGAAGCTTTTCCCGAAGTGAGATCGCTACATCTGTTGCAAATTGGACTAATAAGGTATTGCCAATGAGGCATTCCAGCTTGTTCATTAGCGTTACACGTCTTGCTTTCCTCTTTCTGTGACACGCCGCTGTGCCGTTACTTAACGAACGGTTTCAATAAGACTCAGCCTACCGAACGGCGAAGGAGAATCCGAGACGTTCAAAGAAGGGGTCTTCTGTCGTGACGCTCAGGGCTGCTGCTGTTGTGCGCGGCTAAATAAACTGACCGGCCCTTGACACGAGGTGTGTTTTTTACTCTGCAAAATGCTGAATTCAGCTGTGGCATCTCCTTCAAGGGGAGGCTTTGGAGAGGAGTCCGTGCTCTGGGCCGGGGCTGGAAGAGTAGGGGCTGCCGAGGACGGGCTGGCTGACCTTGGAGGTTCCTCCAGCACCGCGATTCCTGGTTTTGTGTCTCTCCCTCGCCACGGCCCTCTGC